AACGTCTATTAGAGAGAAACATCGACCAGTTGCCTCTTGCACACCCCCTACCGGGGATATGCCCGCAACCAATGTATATGCTCTTGACTGGAATCGAACCTGGGACCTTTCAGTCCGCAGACCGATGCTCCACTACTGAGCTAAACCGGTCTCGGTTCCCTTTATTTCTTGAAGGCACTCCTACTCTAGGTACAACTTCTGCATTAATCCTTGTAGACCCTCTGTCTACAAGTCAAAAAATGTTAAAAAAAAAAAAAGAAACTATAGCATCAAGTGTGATATATATGTTTAAAATATTCATTGTGGGTATCATAAGAACCATATGGAACTAAATGCCTACTTTCGAAACTAAATATAGTAGAATCCTTTAAACCTAGCATATGTTGCTTCAAACGAGACTCAGTTTTGAACAGATGTCCCCTTAGACCTGTTTATTAAAACTAAAGTTACTATATCAGCATAAGTTGTTTTTAAACGTTAGGGCATATTTTGCCACAGATTTTTATTCTAAGATCCCACCGACGTCAGTGGAAGATCCATGCATGGAAAATTGGTATAATATGTATCCTAGTTTTATTTATTTCATATGTATACAGCAGTATAAAATAATATATTACATTTACACTCATTTTACTTATGTATTATTATAGCATTCACAGTAACAAACACTATAGTTAAGATTTAAACTCATCTTTTGTTATAATACCCTGTTTTCACTCACAGATAACTGTCTCAAATATGTGTTTAGAGCAGAAATTCCCTGCATACTTTCAGCTCAAGGATGAATAGATGAATTGGACGTCTGCGTTCCATTGTTCAGAAGCTTTTGAGTCTCATGTGAAAATTTAAAAACATTTTGCATCGTTAATGCAGTCTTTTCACGCAACTCAAAAACATCTGGAGTGTAAAACTTCAAACTACGCATGTGACAAGTTTTCAAGAAATAAAAGCCAGTTTTCTAACTTTACAAATACTTAAAAATAACAGTGATTAGAAATACATGCATGCACACTGAAGGTATTAGAATTTAAGTCATATTATTGCCTGCAATACTCTAGCGGCACCCATCTACCTGCGTTCTCACAGAATGCTATCCTCTAAAATCTACTCCAATTTTTTAGAATAAAAAAAAAATACTCTACTGAACAGTACTTTCACAAATTACTGTCTAAGGTTTTTGTTTGACTTGGCAGAGGGCTATTCCTTAAGTGTTAACAATATATAAAATAATTTGACTACTCCATGGAATAAAAATATGGAATTTTGTCATTTTCTGTTTTTCCTTGTTAAAAATGAACATAAAAATGATGTCAAGTGCAAAGCCTTTATCACTACAAAATTGGAGTTGAAAAAAGTAAAGAAATTGCAATATGAACTATATAAAATTTTCAGAAAAATCATCAAATATACCAATGTTTAAAGTATTTTTTTTTAGTTCCTCGAATATTAAAACAAACATAGATATATGAGGGGAGAGAAAAATCAAGTGTAGTGACAAATATTTGCGTTATTTGTAGTCAGTAACTTAAATAATTTTTTATATCCTGCTTAGTATCATTTGAAAAATTTGGACTGAGTAATTGTATTAAGGATGAACTTTACTCCAGTAAGTAACTTTTGCAAGGTAAAAAGGTTCAATATAATGCAGTTATTGAAGGTGTTTTGTTTTTTTCTTAATTTCTTATTGGAGAAGCAGGATGATATTTCTATTATAAAAGATCTGACAGTAAATTATAAAACTACTAAGAAATAAAACAGGAAAACAAGTAATTAAGATATTGTACTCTTCTATATTACTTAATTTGCAATGTTTGATAAAGGCATTGCATTTAATATCTTCATAAAATAAAATATACATATTTCCTTAACACTTCCCCGAAGAGATGATTCACTTTTAATGAAACAGACATCACTGTATCTGTAAAGTAATTCCATTGTGATATTTAAATATTTGACTTAAAATGATTTCATATAATTATATTCACAGTTAAAAATTAGAATTTTACATGTGGCTGAAATATTTCTAGAAATTGTCATTTGACATACCATTGAAACATTAAGACACTGTTTCCACAGGAAAATGTTTTGACTTTTTACTACTCTAAAACTATGTTAACAAGGAGTAAATATCATACTTTTCTTTTCTGAAATAAATTATTGATGAAATACTGTGTTATAATTTGAATGTTGTTTATGTGATATATATAAAATTATGAAAATTTGATATTAGGATGACTAGAGTAAATAGAAAACTATTGTACAATTCTTTGCATGTGAATCTAAGAAATGCTTACTTGGAAACCTTAAATTATTGGTTGATTGGATTTTCTATTAAGTAGTCCCCTTCATTAATATGTGACATTTTAGTCAAATGTACTAAAATCATACCTTATTTTGTTGCAATTTCTGACTTATTCCGGATGTAGTAGTTGATTAATAACCTAGTCAGTTAGAATGTCATGTTTAAATAATTCTATTTATCTCACAATTAGGTAAAAGTTCTGTTGTTTTTGTTTCTGTAGCATTATAATAAAAGGAAAATTAGTATTACTGATTAATATGATATATTTAAAAACTAATGCACAAATATCAGATATAAAAAGCTAGTTCAAAAGAGATTACATACAATGATAGAAAGGGCTAAATAATTAAAGAAAAAATAAGTCAAATGAATTATATAGCCATTATATATAAAGTGAGTATAACCTTATTTTCAATGCACATAATAAGGCAGATGGATTTGGGTTTCCCCCCATAATTGTAAAATGATAAATGAAAAATTTTAATTAAAACGAGGTGGTCAACAACAACAAAATTCATTTTCTCCTTAAAAAAGCAATTATAGTAAACACTCTTTTAAAAGTTAAATTATATAGAAACATAGTCTCACTATAATAGTCCATCATTCCAAATATTAATGTAGTAATGCCAAATTTTTGATAAATTTTTACTGCTGCACTTAGTGAATATATGTGCTTTTTTTGTCATATATGATGAAATAACTTTATATTTTTAAAGGGTTCCCAAAAGACTGAAACAATGCACACATTATTTTGTTATATAAACTGGTTGTGATTTTGACATAAATATCTAATTCAATAACAGACAAATAAGTGATACTAAGATATCACTCAACTCTTCACATCAAGGACCTATGAACATATGTATGCTTTTTAATGTTAAATCTAATGAAACTATTCCCATTTAAATGACATAAAATGAGTTGGAAAACATTTATGTATACAATAACATAGCATAGCTCAAACTACCATTGAAAATAAGATCAATTAAAAGTTAAGGGAAATGTTTCAAAGTAGGTCTATAATTTAGATTGGGCAAAGCTTTAGTTATAATGCTGAAGGTTGTGTGTGTGTGTGTGTGTGTGTGTGTGTGTGTGTGTGTGTGTAATGAGAATCTGTGAAAAATTTTGTTCTCTGTTTAGAAGATTATCTCACATCCTCTTATTTTTCTCTTTCTCAATTATATTTCAATAAGCAATAAACAGTAGAAAAAAGTGATATATATAGAGGCAAAATGTATCCTACTGAATTTAGTAATTAACCCTTTTGACATAAAGTAAAAGGCAAGCTTCAGTTTTCAAAGCTGACACATGAAGAATTTTCTCATTAATACAACACTGACTACACTTAAGCTATAAAATTTTCACATATAGGATAATACTGAAACAATAATGTACCATGTTTCTATCTCCAAATTTATTAAATTTGCTTTAAATTTAGAGATTCTTTATATGTTATAGCTATTCATTACCAGTTCAGAGATTTATATATCTCTATATGTTCATATAGAGTTATAAATAGATTTTATATGCATGTGTTATTTGAAGTCACAAAACTATGCAAAACTATGTAAAATAAAATTCTGCGTGAGTTCTATGATTGAGGACTTCTTAAAATAGTAATCTTCAGTAACATATTTTACACCACAAAATGTACAGACACCCAGTGTTTTTCTTCTAACAACCAATACAGATGAATATATAGAGTCTTTATAAAAGTTTTAAATGATTCTAAATTCAAAGCCATAGAAATAGAATCGAAATAATGTAGATTGTTAGGTATTTTGATAGTACATGTTCAGTGCTTCTCTGATAACATCGACAGCTATATCTTTGGCATTGAAAATTCAGTACAAGTTCTAGACAAAATTTTTGTAGCTTAGAGCTTCTTTTTCTTTTAAACAAGGAAAAACAGGGTTGAATAAGATGAAAACTGGGAGAAAGCTACTAATGCTTATTTTTTTCTTAGTAAGTTCATCTTTGGGACCCTGAATTACCCTTTTTTTTTTTTTTACTTTATTGTATGATGTGGACTGTATGAATCCATTTAAAAACCAACTGAGTTGTACCACATTTTAGGAAAATTATATAATATAATATATATATTTTATATTTATTTAGAAGCTTTGAAATAGTACAGTAAACACTTTGCAACACGGTGTATAAACTACAGAATGTCTTTGATAATTTGTGGGTCTTCAGAATACAACATTTTTTTTTTTTTGTAACCCACAGGTGAAAAGAACATGATCACAATCTTTCTTGTAAAGTTGGAATAGCTTGGGGAACACTTGATCACACAAAAATAATATAAAACAGTCAACTTTAAAACAGTGATATTGCATTTATAATGCACAAATTTCCTTTATCCTTATGACTGGCTTCTCATGGTGAATATAAACATCTAAAGGGCTCAGTGACATTTGGAGAGAGTAAGATATATAGTGCTGTAAACAGGCACACACTGATCGGAGAGGCAAAATCAGTTGCCTAAAGTTTCTACAGTTCTGCACATTTCAACTCATTTCTCAGGCCTGCTGAGAGCAAGTAGGTCCTACGATTGGCCATGATGACTGCGGAGGCAATCTAATAGTTACACACAACTAACTGGATGGCCAAGATAATGAAGTTGAAAAGTTGATGCTTTTGTTGGTCGACTTTGTGCAAATCATGCTGCTTCAGGGAAGTCCTGTAGAATTGACTAGCATATCCTTTTCCGTGCTGCGAAAAAGAAAAAGAAAATACTCTAAGAAAATGAGCCTGACTTTGGGTGTTTAAAATTGAGCATTAAGTGTAACAGAAGCTAATACAATGGACATGACTTGTATCGCCATCGGCAAACCCCCCCTCCCCCCATGTCAAAATATTTCAGTGTTACCTTGGTTTTCTAATGATTCTAGTCTTTCTGTTGTTGGGCTTTCTGCAGACGACAGTTTTAACAACTTTACAAACTAGTTTTGCATGGGGAATATATAGTTTATAAACCAGCCAACAATTACGTGAGATTAACTTTTTAAAATCCTGTATAAATCAACCCTCATTTCACTATTCACACACAATCTGAATATTAAAAAATGGGTGGCTCTTATACTAGAATATCTATGGACAGCTTGTTATATATGTAATGTAATAAAGTCTAAATTTAAACAGGTCAGTACAAATTAGAATGAGGAAGGTCATTTTCTTCATTACAGAAGCTGATTTGCCAAATATGAAGTACTGTCAGATAAACAGGAGAAAATGAAATGTGATAATATTACTAAAGTCATATTCACACACATTTTTTTTCAAGGTTTTTAAGGAGTAAGTTTGAATATTGAGTAATCATTATTGTTTTGGGACTGTATGAGTTAATAATGGACAAGTAACACACAAATATATGTATTTTTTAAATCAGTGTTATTACATTTTAGAGTTCATGCCTCTGACAGTTATTCTACAGTGTTAGCTACTATGACTGCATTTGCTGAAGCATTTCAGGCGCAAAGAGTGGGTCAAATATGTTGAATCTCTCTGCTTTCTAATATATTCTATATGTTTTCGAATTAACAAATTCATTTCCCCCTAGCTATTAACATATGTGGGGAATTGATCACTTGATGTGGATGAAAGATTTTCTTTTTGGTTAAATCAAAAGAAATAAGAAAGAGACTATTAGTATTCATTTTTACCTCTGATTATTCATTCATTGCATTTACTCCTCATAGTGAGTCATATAAATGCTACATTTAAGATGTTTATCTTACTCTCTGAAATGCAGATAAAAATCATTCTTTGTGGAAAAGAGATATTCAAATATATACCTTCTTATAATTTAGCATATATATGTGTATATTCAGTGTGTATATTACATATACATCTAACATTATATATAATTTTTAAGAAAGTTTCATGATGCATGTGTTGCCTTATATTATGGAATCCTCTTATCCCTTTGATAATATCTAGAACACTCTGTAAAGTATGATGTTAAATTATGGTACTTTTAAACATTCAGATGAATGACAAGAGAATGACTCTGTAAATACTGTATGTTGCAAAATAATTGTACAATTTTTAATATTGATATCCTATTTATATCATGCATAGTAGCATAATAGCCTGGAAAAGTATATCGAGATGACAATTTAATAATTTGAATATTCATATTCCTATGCTTGCATAGCAGGAAGCAAAAGAGCCTTTATACTTTTTGACAGTGTAAACTATAGAAGCAAAAGCAATAAATAAAGCTCGTGAGATGATCTAATCATTTCTGCAACTGAAAGAACGGCCTTCAAACTGAGGCTCTCCACTACAGTGAAACACGTCAGGGGCTGAGATCAGTAACGGACGCCGGAGCTCGTCCACATTTTAATGAGCATCACACCAGGACAGTGCTTTCTATCTAAGGCGAATCTGGCATGCACGAGTTTAAGCCCATTACCCCTTGGAGAAGTCAGAAACACCTGCTCTCTGTTCCCTGGGATAAAGCAGATCACAACTGACAGAAACAGCACGGGGTTCCTTCTAAAGAGAAGACCCAAAGGTTTTTATAAATCCGTGTGTGTGTGTGTGTGTGTGTGTGTGTGTGTGTGTGTGTGTGTGTGATATAAAACTATCTTTTCACAAAAGCATGGGACATTTGCAACTGGTTCGAAAGGGAATATCTACTCTGAATTACTGTGGCCATGTAGACTGCCACCAATATTTTTAACAGGATAGTGTAATTATAGTAACTCAATTTTGTTCAATTTAAAATTATTTTTCTCTAAATAATTATGTTAATTCAGAGTGCTTTGAACTCTACCACAAAAACCAGTGATAGTGTATCAATGCCTTTAATGAAACAATACATTTTGATTATCATTATCTGAATTGATTTGAGTAAGATTTCCAAAGGCATAGTAATCGTGTATAACTTTTCCATTGAGGCATAAGAATTGGCAATATCTTTCCTAAACACTAAAAATATTAAACTCTTAAATTATTGGTTTACAAAACCTGTTATGATATTTCACTTGTAAAGAATTCTATATATTGAAGGGATGCATTCTAAACATTTCTAGGTTGTGCTTTAGAAGCTTAACATTTTTTTTCCCTAAGGGAAAAAATAAATAATAGGATGTAGCCCTCTCTAGAACACTTTTGCCATTATACCAAGTTCTCCTTGATAAACATAACCTCCTTGCCTCCTAGTATCTTAAAATGAAAATTGGAGACTGGATTAATTTGTAGATGCTCCACTCCTACTTTGGCATATATTTAGGAAATGAAACTTTAATATATATTGCTCTATATATTTATAATGCCATAGAAAAAATTTCTGAGATTCTATACCATAATCCACTAAGCTCTAATTTGTCCCAAAACCATGAAATCATATATTTCACATAGCAAAGGAGTACCTTTATAATTTTGTTTGGAGACAATTCATTGTAAATATATGTTACTTTGATAGTGACAAAGATATTTTATTTAAGTTAGTATCTAAGATTCTAAGAAGATAGCCATCTGTTCCTTATAATTAGTCCTTATTTTTTCCTTTGATAATTATGGAACAGATAATATTTACTGACATTTAGATACTTGTATTTCAAGTATTTTACTTCAAAACAACATTATAAGGAGAACAAATTATTTACTTCCTGTAATGTTGAAAGTAACATTAGTTTTCAAAGCAGAAAGCAAGGAAGATTCCTGAATGGGATTGATTATTCCTATAAGTATAGGAATGTTGCATATAAAGATCTATTTGGAACAAATGACATCATCATATCACAATATTAGACCAAATCCTAGTTAACTAACTAGTATGAAAACCAAGCATGAATTCTGTCATGGAAAGATAAAAAACAAGAATAAATATGTAAAACCTTCATTTAAAAACTACATAGCCATGAATTGAATTTATTAACTACTAATAGCCTATTTAAACAGGGATAACGTTTCAAAATAATTTAAACAAAAGCTTAGATAATAAAGTCATGGAAACAAATGGAAAATCTATTTGGTTGTTAAATAAAATACTTATAATTTATATGTTTATTAAAAAAAACATGCAACATAAACAACTTAGAAACTGTGTGCAAAAGCATGGCTATTTATTTCATATACTTGATCTGATTTCCCCGAATGTACTACAGTCACTTCATGTGTCAAAACAAACAGATTTAAAACAGGAATCGCTGGCTCAGTGGATGCTGACATGCTGACACACTGAGAAGTAAAAGCTGACCACTGTTTTCTGTTTTGAGAAAAACACTCCCACACTACAGCAGGTTAGAAACCGTGACTGTACAGGCTGCAATAACTCCTTGAGAAAGGTTGCCAGATAAAAAGCAGGATGGCCAGCTGCATTTGAATTTCAGGTAGTAAATAAGGACTGATTTGTTAGTATACATATGCCCCATACAATAGTTAGGTGTCATGTACTATATGTTAAAACTGGCCACCTGTCCTCAAGGCAGCCTCATAGGTGACAGGCTAGTCACCACTGCGGCAAATGTTACCTATTTCTAGAAAAATGTGGCACTATATTTTCTAATTGTTTTGTAACACTATAGTTCCTATAATAAAGGTCATGCATATTTCTACCAAAAATATTTTAAAATAAAATGTCAGAATTCAAAAGGAGATAAAGAAATAAAATTGCCTAAAATATAAATTTATATTCAATGACATATTGCTTAAATATCATACACAATACATTTTAATTGTTATTTAAATTATTTTTAAAAATTTCAACCTTGTTTGGAGTGAGCTATTTGATTTTGTGAGATAAATATGACATACTAGATAAAATGTTCACTCTTTTTGCATAGTGAACATAATTTTAAATTATTTATTCTAAACTCTAACCATATATATATATATATATATATATTCTAAACCCTAACCATATAATATATATATAATATATATATATTAATTTTAGTAATATCCTAGAAACCTCTTTCTTTTTAATTTAATATAACATCTGATAATTAGAGATTGAGCATGGATAGGCAGTGAATCAAACTCAGTTTTAAAAACCATCAAAAAGTGCTAAATTGTTGAAATAAGATTATATCATGCTTGTTAAGGTTTAAAATTACTTTAGTTATATTCTAATTAAATGGTGAGATTTAGATCCTTAAATATTTCTATTACATTCCAGAATTTTAAATTTTGTTTTTGATTGGGTTCATCTTAATTACTATAAACATTTAATCATATAATAAAATAAGAATATTTGTTATGTTAGATATGAACTATCTATGAAAAATATAATAAATCTAGGAAAAAGTTAAAATTTTAAGTAATCAACTTTTGTTGGGACTAGTAAAAGATCCTGGTTAAATAGTATTGGCAATGTATTTTTTATATATAAAATATCTATGTCATTATCAAAATATGACAAAATATAAACCCACCTACATATATTATCATAAAGTTATCACCAAAATAATAAACATTTTATATCATTATTTTTTTAAAGTATGAGATTCTCATTAGGTACCATGAAGCCATAAAAACACATACATATCTAAGGGAAAAAACATTGAAAATAACATATTGGATAATCATGATGAGTAAAAAAAACTCCTATACTTAAAAACTGTTACATGAAAAGCCCAGAAACCTAAAGGAAAAATCAGATAAACTGCCTCTCGCCATAGTTACCCTTATAAAAAAAACCCCTACCCATAATCAGTATCTACAATGATCCTTTTTATATTCATGGTTAAGATTACCTTATA